CCGAGGGCCGAGAAAGAGAAAGGGGCGCCTCCTCTGGCCTGCACGGGAGGGACGTCGAGCAGAGGTTCAACTCGGAGCTGCCGCAGATAAAGCAGCTGTTCTGCTCTTTCTTCCTTTCTTTTGCTCATTCTCTTTCTTTTTTTGAATTGTTTAATTTACTTATTATCATCATTGTTATTTTTAATTTGACCAGAGAGACACAGAGAGAGAAAGTGAGAAAGCAAGCCACTAGGTCCAGGACTCGAACTATGATTGGCCATGTGTGGGAGTCCCGCACCTTATCCATCACACCACCTGCCGGCCCCAGCTTTTCTTTTTTTATACTAGGGACCATATTTCTTATAGAAAGTTTGGAAACTGAAGGAACTTTTCTCATCACCTAGGTGAATCTTAGCCCTGTGTGTCTACTTTTCTGCTGTGTGTGTGGATTTCACTTACTGGAACTGTTTGCTACCATAGTACTTATTTTTTTCCTATTTAAAATGTAGACCTTTTCTCTGTTAAAATGAAAACCTCTGGGACTAGCAGATGGACTGGACTCTCACATGGCTGACCGTGGTTCGAGTCCTGGACCCAGTGGCTTGAAAATTATGCCAGGCACATATGGATGCAGGCCAAGATCCAGGGAGAAGGAGGGATTGCGTGGCCATCGCCCCTGCGGGGGTAATTATTTTCCCTCTCACTGTGTCTCTCTCTGGCAAGCGCGCCCACCCTAAGGCAAATAAATAAATAAAAACCCTTTTAAAAAGAAGAAAAAGAGAACCTCTGCCATCTTTGTTTTGGAGAGGTTTTTGCGATAGGGTGCACGTGCTCATCGAGAGACAGAGAAAGTGAGAAATCACGGGGGGGGGGGGGGGGGCGGGGGGGGGTTGTGTGGTGAGTTTTATGCCACTGGGTCTGGGACTTGAACTATGTGGGAGTCCAGTGACGTACCCATTATACAGCCTGCTGGCTTTTCAGCGGCTGTGTCGTAGTTTGGTGCAGCAGTATGTCTTGTGCCTGGAGGTGGATATTTAGGTTTTCCTAGCTTGTCACTCAAGGCACGTGATGAACGTCCCTGAGGCCAGATCTTTGTGGACCAAGCATTGCTACAAACAACTGCCAGTCAAGCGTGTGTTGTTGAGGTTTTTGTTATACGTGGTCAGCCTGCTTTCTAGGAAGGCTGTGGCTCTGGGTCCGTGAGTAATTGCCCCATGACTTCTCCATCTTGATTTTCTTCCTGCGTCCTGCTGGGGCCAAAGCCTCTGCAAGCCCTTTATGCTTGTCAAACGGGTCTCAGAAGTCAGAGGTTGGGCGGCAACCCTTTCACGTTTTGTGTTTCAGCTCGGAAAACGCAAGGTTCAGAAGCTGCTAGGCCCCCAAAAAAGAAAAAGAAGAAAACACAAAAGAAGTTGCAGGAGCAGGAAGAGAAGGCTGAGCACAAGGCCAAGCGCCTGCGGGAGAAGTCTCCAGCAGCTTCTGAGGCCAAAAAGCCACTAGCTGCAGCTGCAGAGGGTGGGGCTTCTAGCTCTGCGGGGGCCACTGCAGGTGAGCTGAGTGATTTCAGGAAATGCAGGCAGCACAGGGCTGGGCTTTGGTGCCCACCCTCCGGCAGGGGTTATGCAGGGCTTCCCAGAGAGGAAATCCCAGGAGTAGCCTGGGTGGACAGGACCTAAGGAAGGGCGCGCCCAGCCAGGTGGCTAGGGGCAAGGCCATGTCTCTCTGAGGACCTGGAGCAGCTGGGCTCAAAGAGCGTCACTGCCCTCAGGTCCCTATAGGGGCCCAGGCTGCAGAAGGGGGAGAAATGGGAAAGGGGTTAGGCTTGCATACAGGGAAGTGTTTTCTCATACCACAGTGACCTGCCTTGTGAAGGAGTGCATGCTCCTCATCTACCTTAAGGCTGGCACAGTGGAGCAGAATGGCTGAAATTGCCCTGCAGGTCCTTGGGTGGCCACAGGGGGGCAGGCAGGTAGTGTGTAGAAACTCTCGCTTTGATGCCTAGCACTGGGACTGGAAGGGAATGGTCCAAAGTCCACCTTCTCTGCAGGTGGAGTGGCCACGGGGTCTGATTCCATCTTTGCCCTGGATGTTCTGCGACAGCGACTACATGAGAAGATTCAGGAGGCCCGGGGCCAGGTAGGCAGGGCAGACCCCACGCGTGCTGTGCAGTGTGTGTGCTGGAGCAGTTTCCCACTCTGCCTCCCACCTCCAGCTCTCTGAGAGGCCCTGCAGTGGGTCCTGGCATGGCCGCAGCAGCCCTGTCCTGGGAGAGCAGGATGGGGGTTCTCCCAGATGGGGAGCTGTCTCCTGGTGGCTCTCCTCTGGCCTTGCAGAGAGGCTCAACCTCCTTTCTCCTGGGAAGCTACCTTTGCTGGGAAGTGCCCCCGTGCAGGGATGGGCACTTCCTGGGCACCTCGTTCTCATTGTCACGGCAGCCTATGATTTGCATGAGGCGACAGCCACAGGAAGGGCCAGCCCGTGCACTCTGTGCTGAGAGATGTGCTCTCCCTCCGACTGGGACAGTGCCCGCCCTCTCCTGGGCCTCCCGGCAGCCTTCTCGCTGTGTGGGGACAGCCCCCGGCCTGGGGAGGTCACATCAGGCACCCCATTGTGCAGACCAGGGACTGGGTTCGGGTCATGACCTGGGCCCTTATCTGTGGCGTGACGGATAACCATCTGTGGGACTGCGTTTGTGAAGCACCGCGGTACGCAGTACGCGCCAGGGAACTGGAAGCTGTTGCTCTTAATTGAGGGTCCCTCCTCCCTTTTGGGGTCATCTGCATTTGCAGTAATGGATGGTGTCGTACAACACTGTACCCTGCGGGTCCCTCGTTCTCATGCACTCATGCCCCGGTTCCATCTCGGCCACCGGCCAGGCTGTGGGACTTCAGTGCATAAACTCTCCCTCAGGGCAGCACCAGGGAGCTGTCTGCCACCACTTTGGAGAGAAGGCGCCGGCGAAAGCAGGAACGGGACCGCAAGAAGAGGAAGCGGAAAGAGCTTCGCGCCAAGGAGAAGGCGGCCAAGTCAGAGGAGTCTGTGGGGGCCCCTGCACCAGCCCCGGAGGAGGCCTGCAAGGAGCCCGCAGATCTGCAGGGCCTGATCTTCAACAGGGTGAGCAGGGGAGGCTCGGTGGCCTCTGGCCATGCCAGGCCCCACGCCATGCTGCCTCAGATACATGCCTTCCCTTGGGACCTCGGTGGCACATCGGTGAGGTGGGGACCGGACACCTGCCCCATAGGGTGCTGTGGGGGCCTGTGCACAGCTGTGGTACCTGATGTCAGGCACCCCCCAGGTGGAGGCCAGTGAGGAGGAGCCAGCCAACAAGGCCCAGCGGAGGAAGGAGAAGAGGCAGAAGGTGAAGGGGAAGCTGACTCCGCTGACCGGGAGGAACTACCGGCAGCTGCTGGAGCGCCTGCAGGCACGGCAGGGGCGGCGGGGGGCGGCGG